GGGGGGGGAGGGGGTTAAACGACAGTGCATATCAAGTTGCAAATCTAAAGAATTAGTTTCACCTTAATAATGCTATCTCCGCTTTCATACTCAGCTCTTCAAACATAAACAGAATATATGCAACTTCACAACATTCATTCTGAACTTTGCTTACTTCTATCAAAAATTTTTAGGGCTAATACATCTGTATATTCTTTTCATTCTTCCCACAAACCAACAAAGCAAAACCCAGACAAATTTACCCTCACAAGGTACTACAGACTACGTTAATAAATAAATACTGCAAACCTATATATGTTGCAATAAGGAAATAGAGCTCATCTCGATCTTGATAGTTGTAGAATTTCAAGTAGATGTCAGAACATAGATCATTTTCTGTGCAAAATACTTCAAGTCCCTTAGAAGTTAAAGAGGGGGGAAAAGTAAATGAGAGCAATTACTGACAAGCTGTAATATTCATATTTTTTAACAGAATAGATCAGTTACTAATATCTAAAACTTAAGACTCTAAACTGGGTAGCAGTTTTGCCCACAAAGCCTAACATTTTGATCTTTCCTATTTCCAATCATAAAAGCATTCAGTTTACACCCAACTGAAAAAATAGCTTTATACCTGTCCAAAGATTGGCTCTGCCTGGATTGATTAAGCACAGGTAATATACTTTTTTTGTCCTAAGTGAATGGAGTGAGACAGAGAGTTAAATGTCTATTTAGTTTAAATGTGTTTTGAGACAAAAATTTTGTTCAAGACTGAAATTTCAGTGCAAACACTGAAAGCATACAACTGAGGTTCCACTGCAGCACTCTCATCATCCCTCAGTCATGTACAGCGGGACTCATCACTCCATATTAGTCTCAATCTGAACCAGTGATCAACCTCCCTCCAATGAATCAATCCAGAGAGAAAATACACCATGAGAGAGCAATTCATTCTATCCCAAGATAGGTGTTTGAGATAAATGGAATGAATTGCTCCCTGGAGGTACTGCCTTCTCCCTTCCCCTACACTGATGGCTTATGAGAGAAATTTTTCATCCTTGACAGAGTTCACTCTTCCTGTTTTCATCTTTTTGACAACACAGGGAACTAAAACACTTAAAAACCAGAAAGGATCTTTGAGTGCTGTTCACTACTTAATCCAGAGTTTTTTAAAACATGTAGCTTTTACCTAACGATGCACACAGTTTCAGCTGGTCATTTTAAGAAACAATATATACAGGAAGACATTTAAAAAAAAAAAAAAAAAATTTGAGCTTACCAGTGGCATTAGGCCATGTCTTCTCTTATAGATGCGACGCACGTTTTGCAGTGTTATTTGTACTACTGGTTTCTGTGGGGGGAAGAAAAGATGGAGATATTCCAGAAGGTATATGTTCTTCTACATTAACCTCTCCAGCCAGTCTGAAGTTTCTCTCGACTCGAGATACTAGCAATATGAAAACAATATCCATCCATGTCATTTTAACAGTGGAACAGTGATGCTAAGCAGTTACGTTAAAAAGAGGAAGCTTGTCTTTGCTGTTGGTTCTTGTCTGAGTAGCAGAGCAGTTTAAGAATAAATAAAGAATAGTGTGTTACTTATCATCCGAGCCTGTCGCCAGTTATAATAATCATGCAAGAGAGGAGCAGAACAAAATAAACGCTATTAAAAATAAGGAAGCCAGCGGGCTGCTAAGCAAACTGTTTGCCAATGGTGCCGCCTGGTGGACGGAAATTGAATGGCAGTTTGTCATCTTCAGCTGTGAAACCCATTTTCTTCATCTGGACGTACTTCTAGTATATTAGTGGCCTGCTAAGACTATCGCTGCTATTTCTGTGACAAAGTTCCAAAGCAGTAATCTGTCTGCAACATGCACTCGGTTTTCCTCTAGAGAAAGAAATTATCAGTTTAATAGAAAACCTAGCTAAGATCTTCCAATATAAACTCTAAATGTATATAAAGCTCTCACTAGGTAAAGAACAGCATCACAGAGTAAGATTAAGAAATTTATCTTAAATGAAATGCTACAAAAAATGATCTTTAAATACTAATAGAGAATGAGCAAAGGACATTTTGTGCTTTGTCAGTAGGAGGTCAACTTTAAGCAAGTTAGCACAGAATAAAGCCTCAGAAATAGAGATACACTGAATGCAACAGATCAAAAGAAAACTAAGGAGCTTCTGATTATAACTGAAAATAGAGTCGTCCTGGAGATGTGCTCCATGTGCATTGAAGAGGAAATGAAAACTGTCCACTAGAGGGGCAGCATGCTCACATCATATGCAAAGACCATCTATGAGGCACTTACAGGATATCCATTAAGAGGCTGGAAGTACAAGTTAGCATCAGTAACACACACATGCCCTGGATTAGTCACCAGTGGTGTCACCATTTCTGCTTTACATTCCATATGCAGCGTTTCAGAAATGCTTTGAAATCTACAAGTGAAGAAAGGGAATAAGTTTACCACCAGTTCTTACTTAGGTAGAGCTACCCTTAAATTCTTTAGAAAGGTTTTAGGCTAGCTTCTAACCTTGGGACATCAGAATGGGGACTTCACTAAGCCTATTTTAGACATGAAGAAAGTTCTTTGTTGAGACATCTACTTTAACAGGGACTGCAGAAAGGAAAGTTACTACATTCTGCACAAGTCTCAGAGCAGTAAGCCAGTTGACTTTTCTATACAGAGCTTATTTAGCATATGCTGATGCCCAATTTTCAACAAATTCACAGAAAAACAGAACAGTTTGGAGAGATAAAAAAGTAACATGTTCATCTTCACAACACAGAATTTCCCATTCTCCATTCCAGATGGTTCAGAATACAAAGAAGATAACTCTCTGAATTAGATAACTTATGCTGCCCCAAACAAGAACCTATTAAGTACTGATGGAGTAGATTAATCAACCAACAAGCTGAAACTAATTTTTGAGTAGAAAGTGGTTAAAAAGATACCTGTTTTTATCAAATGAAGTTCTAGCCAAGCGCGATTGCAATATAGCAGTTATCTAATGTAGAGGGAAAAAAAGTTAGTATGGTCTATGATTCAAACGCAACTAGAATTTTATTATTAAACAGTGATATCAGAAATAATCAGATACTTACCATGGCAGCTTGATCTCCCATCTTATCTAGACAAGAAGCCCTGTAAAGCTAAAGAACAATGAGGTTTAAGTGAAACAGCACAGAGATCTCCCACACAGCTCAGAAGTCAATAGAAACTGGGGGGGCTTTAGCATTCTTGGTGACAGACTACTGAAAGAGCTATTATTATTTCTTTTTAAAGTAGGACATGTTTGTTCATTGCTACCGTCACGTTATTACTTTGTCTATATACTACCACCCTGCATAGTAAAAGCTAATATGGGTAGCTTACAACAGCTGTCAGAACTAGATGCTGTGTTCAACTGCTACATTTTAAAAATAGATACTCCAAGAATATCACCTTGAGAATTAAATATTTAAAGAAAGCTCTCCATTAAATATCAAAAAAGATGTTGTGATGAAATGTGTAGTGATATCAAATAACCACATACCTGATGCAGAGTTTGCACAACATCTCCTAGTTTCCCAGCAACATCCAGTTGGAATAAGTGTTCTGTTCTTCCCTAAAATCAAAAGTACATTTACTACAAACGAGTTTAAAATAAAGCTCAGTGAAAAAAGTTAAAACTAACATCAAAATGCTCTAAAACCTGGTCAAAGTATGCTGCCAAAGGTTGCAGTATACCTGTAACGTTTCAAAGGCAGATGTTAAACCTGATTTTTTTTTCTTTACAAATGTATTTCCCCTGTGGTAAGCTCTTTGTGCAGTATTTAGTCCATTATTTAATACAATGCAACATAATAGCTTTGAAGTAAATAAATTAATATAGTGTAACATCAGTAAATGTAGAACTACTACCTGCTCTGTCTATTTTAATATCAGATAAACACATGTAAATTTACAACTAATAAATGACATGTTACAGTTAAACAGCTACTGTATATCTTTTAGACAAAAGATACCAGCCCATCAAACCTTTGAAGACCAGGCTATAAAAGTTACCATTCTCCTCTACATAAATAGTTTTGAGTTTTGAAGGGATCCCAAGTCCAATCACAACCCATTTTGACTAGTCATTTATAAAAACATCACTAACACATCACCCAGCATATGTGCCATACTTATTTTTTCCTCTACAAAGTCTTCCCAGCTTTCTTAAGTGTCGTTTTCATAGTACATGTTTCTGGTTTTGACTTAAGTATATTAAAAGTATATGCATGGATCAACTGATATTAACTCTTACACATTAACTCATATTTAGCAAAGGTGGTGGGATCCCTTGATGACCCCTGAATGTAGTATAAAACTGTATTAACACATTTCTGTAGGGTTTTGTAATTTCTCAGGCTAGACTTTAAAAAAAAAAAGTGATCAATAAGACTACAGCGAGACATTGATCAGTGGATACAACTGGATTAATTTAAAACTGAAGGAAAGACGACATGGAAATCTAGATGATCTTCAGTGTAATGTACATGATCTAAGCTGAACTGACAGCGATCCAAGAGGAAAGCATGCTTCAGGAAGCAAATGGAGCTGGAGTAAAGGGAGACAAGAAATTCAGTAGCAATTTAGAAGCCTTTTAACATTTCACGCAGAGCACCGTTTTCCTTCAACAGGGAAAGCACGGCTCTCAGAAATCCTAGTGGATGGTCTACAAGGATTGCTTACAGCCAGCAATGTATAGCTTTTGTGAGCGGTTCTTTCTGTAGCTCTCCGACCATATGCAAAGACAATAGCTCAGTATTTTGTAACTGATCTGAAACAATCAATACAAGACATGGAAGATAAAATGTACTACCAAATTCCAGCACTCAGTGATGCATCTGGAACTGACAATGATTCAAGTAGAAAATACTAAGCAGCAACAAAAAAAATTCTGAAATGACTGAAGGCAAATTTGATTTCTTGTTTAATATGCAGAAACACAGCTGCACTTTTGTAAAGTAAATTGTAATGGTTAACTGTCAGGAATGTTTTAGGTATGAATGAATCTTGACTTAGGAGAAAATAAAGTGAAAAGCCTTCCAAACAGCCCTTTTGATTCTTTTCTTTTTCACTGTGTTGGCAATGTGGTAAGATATTTGTATGATATGTAATAAATCTTGCACATGGAAGCAAAACAGAAAATAAAAGGACTAGAAGAGAAAACAAGTTCAACACATGAAGAATTAATGGCCTAAAGCAAACAAACAAAGAAAATTTAAAAAATCCTAGTGTAGAGACAGATCTAATCACAAAACCAACCCAAAGCAGTTGTTGAGAGAACGGAGATCATCTCTTGACTCTTTGCCGTTCATTACAGTAACACAAATTTATGGACTCCATCATTCTTGAAATTTCTTACTTAAACAAATACGTTGAGAAAAATAATTCTGTCTGTTTCAATTCTTGGGCAAATATGGTGTTTAATGACTCTGCATTTTCATTTTGTGTTTGTGTCTTAACCCATCTCACATTCCAGGTAAAAAACCCTTACTTCTACGCCTTGAAGCCTCCAGGCTCAGAATCAGAGCAGACCCACCCCATCAGCAGAAAGCAACCAGAAGCAAGCTCTAATTTCTGCTGTGAGCAGCCTTATCTGCCATTTCTTTGAACTGTGAAGCACTCAGCTGGGAAATATCAATTAGCCATCTCTCATTTCAGGTGTGGGCAGAACTGAGGAGAAGCCATTTAGCCAGGATGCAGTGTCCACTGAATACTAGCAGCCAGCTGACAGCTCTGACTGTTGAGCCCACAGAGCTGCACATCAAAGTAAATAGCAAGTGTCAAGTCTGCAGTTCGTCCTCCAAGAAGTATCACAAACCCATTATGGAAGAATTCAGACACTTGTTTTATCAATAGGCACAATTAGGTTTTTTTTTTTTAAGCTTTATTGTCATATTCCTCAAATTATAATCATTTTACTCTTTCAGAAATGAGAACATAAATCCTTGCAAAACATTAGCTAAGAATAGTGCAAAAATATATACTTACTCTTACTGTTTTATAGGGTGCAATAATGTTTCTTTCTTTAATGAGAAAAACCTGAAAGAGTAGGAGATGTTATAGTTTCAGTCCTTAAAAAAAATAAAATAATCAGAAGTACTGATAAACACAAAGTTAAGAACGCTGTTTAAGCAAGCAAAACACCGAGTTGCAATATCCTGCTTTAGCTACCTCAGATAAACTGCAGAAAAACAATGACCTTTTGTAGCAGCTAACTCTAAGAGGGGCAAGTTTTCCCATTTAGTTCAGAGGCTTACTTACTTATGTAGTTTATTACTGGGTTTTTATTCTAATCATATGACCTTCAAAGATTTGCAACATCAAAGCCAATACACACGGCCATCCGTCTAATCCCATTCAATGGAAGGATCCCCCCCCCTCTTTTCTTCTGGTGGCTCATGCCCTTAGGGTTCTGTCCTGATGGGAAATACCCCACAGGGGCAACTCACAACATAAACTACGGTATAAACCTTCTCAAATGAACCCCTTCTTCCACTGTCAAACATTTTGCTTCAAGTTCCAACTGCCATGAACACCAGATTTCCTATCCCCTCCAACAGCAAGGTTTTGAAGAGTTTTGTTTCTCTGATGCTATTCTCACATCTGAGAGGATCTTCCCTCCCCAAAGCCCACATGAAACTACTCTCCTTCAGAACATTCTCACAACTCCTATAGAAAGACTTGACACTGCTAGCACATTGGTTTGTAGATACCACCTTACTATCTGCTGTCTGAAAAAAGACAAGCCAGCAATAAGTCATGGTTTTGCTCTGTTTGTAGGGAAGGCTCAAACTTGCTAAATCTCAGGCCTGAGCGTAAGACTCGGCATTGGTTCTGAACTGCACAAAACACACTGGACTACACTACCAACTGTCGTCGACTCCATGGCCCAAGAGACTTGGCCGATCAAAGGGCCTTTTCCAGTGCCTCAGTTTGCTTCCTACAGCTAGCACACCTGTGATTCTACACTCCAAGGCATTGTGGCAGCAGCCTCAAACCAAGAGCAAATACTAAACTTGCAAGAACAGATGCTGTACCATTCTCCAGCCAGAAGCCTTCTGACTGGCACATACGGCCTTCCTACTTCCCACTGGCTGACAACCTTCAGAGCCAACTTTCACCACATGACCACTCACAGCACCGTCCAGCCAGAAGAAAGTGAGTGGTATGCTCAGAAGCTTACAAGCTCAGCATGCTTCTCCAAGTGCTACGTTAAAAAATAATGACAGTTAGTGCCTTTCATCTGACATCAGCATGTACAGACCTGAATCAGAGTAAGAGACACCTGCTTTACACTCAAGATGCTCTTCTGCAGGACAATTAAACACTTTTCTACACCGAGAGCCCCAAATTACACAAAAAAGTAGACAATACAAGTAAAAAAAAAAAAAAAAAGTAAGCAGAGCAAAAACTTTAGCATACTGTATTCATTTCCTATTTTGGAGGATTTTTCCCCAATTTCATCTTGAGAAAAAATACTGAAATAATCTCCAATTATTATTTCCATTTGCTGTATTTATAGCCATTAATTTCTAAGTTGCCTGTTATGCCAAGCAAAGCTTCTTATCCAGCTATGCATTAACAATTTTTTTTTAGCCTGAAAAGGCGAAGATGTTTAAGATGTTCCAATTATTCGCTACATGCAGTCTCCTACAAGGCAGAAATTCTACTTAGAAAAAATATTATAATTAGACCATGATTTGTCATAAGTACAACCAGCAAGTACTTCACACTCGAAAGTCCCTATGCCTTTTATACAAAATACCAGCATTTATCACACCACCCAACTATTTCAGAACGTTTCCCCAGAGACAGGAGGATGACTGGCAAGCTACACATGGGAGGGGCAGGGAGTGGGGGGTGCTAACCACACTTGCCATTTTAAAAGTTAATTCTCCTTTCCTATGAGATGTTTTTATAAATCATTTTTTCTTCAGAACATATACTAATGATGTATGGTGGAACAATTGCATCGAACAGTTAGAAATACCTTTTTTAAAAACACACACAAAAAAAACTGCCAACACAAGAAACTTTGATTACACAATACTCTTCACAGAAGCAGCTTCAAGATGAAATTAAATATACTGATTACTTTAACACAGTCCACAAACTTCTCCAGCATAGATAATATTAAATGCTTGACTGCAGCAGTACTTAACTGAGCAAGGCTATCAATTTTCTGTATTGTTAAAGACAGATTTTACAAAGATGCTAGAATGTTTAAAAGAATATTTCCCACCTCATCTCTGTTCTTTCCTGAAATGAAAACATTAACATTTTTTGGAAACTTTTACAGCTTTGGAACACCTATCAGTTGCAATTTATCAAAGCTTGAAGTATATTCCCTTAGTTAACATTAAGTATGAGCATATCCAAATTAATTACAACTCAGGATTGAAACTTTAACCCAATATTAGGACAGCTACTGAAAATTATTTGGTGGACATACAGTACAGTCCAATGTTTTCACAAAGCTGAACTGCAAGGATCAAGATAGCTTTGCCATTACCACTACATGCTGCAGAAAGTAGGAGAAGCAATATAGCAAGACCAAAAAAAAGATGATTAATAACCAGTTTAATTTCAGTCTCTCCTCCTTTTTCATTCAATTCTAAAATTGCCCTAAGCTCCATTATAAAATGCACAGTGCAAAAAGTTCACTTTATCAAATTAATGAGTTAATGAAGTCATTAACAGTTTGAAATTTCCAGCATCAACAGCTTCACATTAATGCTAAGTTTTTGACACTAATTAGCTTTGTTTCCAGTTAACCCACCACCCTAAGACTCCAGCTTCAAGAAAGACACTATTAAAGAACGTAACCTCTCTCATTTATACATCAAGAATCTGTTATATGCAGGTCTTACCTGGTTACATACAACAGAAATCCCTCCAGATGTATCCCTAAAATGTAAATAAGATATTTGAAGAGATGGGCGTTTCAGCTTTAAAAGGAATTAAATAAATATATACAGTAACTCAAATTCACGTACCGTGTGAAAGGGTTATTTGCTTCATTATCTTCTGGGGCTTTTATACTAATGCAGTCTCTCAGTGGTATCTGCAGCAAGTTATAAAAATACATACTCGTTCTTAAAAGCTTTTTAAAGAGAGTCTCAAAGAAATTTTAAGTTTGCACTACTTACCTTGATAATGGGTTGGATATTGTCATCAGCTTCAAAAATGATTGACTTTGAACAGATTTTTAGAGAGCCTCTGAATTTCCTAAAAGGAACAATAAGAAAGAAAGTAGTTATGTGTTAGAGATACATGAGACTAGAACAACTCCAGTATATGAAAGTAAGTCAGAGTTTTGTACCTTTCATCTCTGCAACCTTTATTTATAATATGATTAGCTGTGTGCTGTTCAAAGTAATATTCTTCCAGGTTAAGAAGCAGCAGTGAAAACCTACAAATAAATAAAAATTATTTATTTAAAAAGAAAACACCACAACAGTTAGTATTCTTAATAAAACATACCAAATGTTTGGGAAGTCTTCACTGATTTCTGTGCCGTGCCCCACACTCCACTAACAAATTAATTCAAATTAACTTTTTGAAATAGCAAACCCATATGGAAAATTTGTGTACACATGAAGAAGATCGATTGATGCTCTTCTAACATATATAAGGTTAGATATTTGATTCTGTTCATATGTCTCAGGTGGGAACTATCCTAACATAGCCAGGCTTTCCCCCCAGTAAGCATTAGTTTAGCCCTTATCAGTGTACGCTATTCAAAATATGCAATGACACAAAAGGAGGGGCAGGAACTAATCGTTTGGAGTGGACGAGATTAGATCTTTCTGAAGCAAAGCCAAATTACATTGGTCTAAAGTGTTAAGTGAAAACACGGCCACGGTTTTTACACCATGGCTGAGCCACTCGATGGATACCCTCTGAGGAAGCATTACCTTTCTCTCCAACCGCATTTCTGCGCATCCTCTGTACAACCCCACAGAAAGCCTATTTATGGACTAATCCAACAGACAATAAGCCTCAACAACAAAAAAGTAAAAAATAATAAAAAAATTGAAGTCTTCTGAAGTATTTAATTGCAGGATCATAGTAATGCCAGTGCTGGTACGAGGTAAATGTAAATAGGCTAGATTAGATACAACATGAAACTGCGTTCTCTAACGACTTAACTTAAAAAACTGCTACAAGTGATTAAAACTCACCAACTTTACTAACAGGGTGAACACACGGTCACATATGCATTTCAGCTGTGGGGAATGCCAGTGGGTATTGGCACAGCAGGAGGAGCAGAAACATCTTATATCACTTCAGTTGGAAGTACAACAGCTTGTTTGTGTGCAGCGCTGGCTTGATCTGCAGAAGTACTTACTATTTATTTACATCCACGCTTTGGGCTTTTTGTACTGTGTTCGTGATGTGCTTCACGAGAAATGCCCGTGACAATGCTAATAAATGCCAAGTGTCCCCAGAGCGTATTCAAATAGCAGTAAACATGTCGAGAGTTCACAAAATGAACTGATGGTACTGAACAGCCTGCTCGTTAAGAAAGCATATTTCACAATAGAAAAAAAACAGCGTTACTGGAAAATACATCTTGTTCACATAAGATCTGTGTTGTGTCTGTTATCTTAAACAGAACATAACAATAAAGGTTTACTGTAACTACAAGTAACAGTGGGTCCATATACTCAAAACTGCTTGTGTGTCCAAGACACCTTGTCCTAATGCCCTGCTGCTTTTTCAAAATGGCATTATCTTTACCTCTCCTCTCTTGAAAACAGGTATTTTATGATGCCATTAAGAAACAACTGATGCTAAAAATGTGAGAAAACATATGAGTTAGAACAGTATACGCCATACAAAACTCCTTAAGAAAATTCAACCCAAATCTCAAAAAGTCTCTTCAGCCTCTACCCCAGTTGCTGTTATTGTATGGTTCTTGAATATCTCTAGTTTCCAGTGGGTTTTAGGGGCTTTGTCTTCATGTATCCTTTCTCAGAAGACATAACTTCAGTTGCCTTCTGTTTCTCATAGAAGTCTGATCTTCAAACTTACTGCCACCTGTGAAAGCATGTCCTATCAACAGATATAAATTAAATTTCCAAGTTTCTTGGTGCCTTTGAAGGAGCCAAATCATTCTTTTCGTATCTATTTTGATCACTCACTTTCAGCAAGCTAAAATAGAAGGTCTAGCTCTGCATTTTGAGGAAAAAAAAGCTTCACTAGGAACAGTCTACAGGCTGAGCGGGAAGAGGAGTATGAAGCCATAGCAGCTTCCACACAGTTTCCATTAAATCCCATTTTTCAACACATCATCCAGTTGTAATCATCTGGGACAAACTTAAAATTTCTGGGATTTTGCAAACTCAGATCTAGCAAGTCCTATCACATTTGGATTGAAAGCTTTTTAATAAAGCTACGTTAGGATATACAAGGAACAATTCACCATCAGAATGTTTTTCCTTCTAGTATGTATAAGCATATACATTCAGCTCACAAACCACAAGCCAAAATATTTAAATAAAAAAAGTTAAGAACAAAGGTAATACCCAGATTTGTTTGAAAAAAAAATCTACTCTCTCTTATCAGGGATCAGACACTATTGACATAGGGAACAATCTGCTTCAAAGCAATGACATTCATGGTCCCACAATTTTTCTTCCAAGCAAACTGGTAACGTCTGGTTGATAGAACTCCTTTCTGAAATTCTTCATGCTTGGGCTCTTTTCTTTGTCTCCACCTATTCTTTTGACAAACTCCCTACATTTTTATACTCTTTCCAAATTCACCTGTTGGCAGCACTGGTAACTACTAGACTTCCTTTTTAAGTTTTTAGTAAACGCAGGAATCCTTCATACATTCAAGATAAGCCATGTTTTTACACCAAAACATTGGCTCTGTTATTCACAGTAACTACAACATGCTTACATAAGCCAAAATACATAAACCAAGAGAGTTCTCTTTCAAATTTTTCAGGATAACCATCCCCTAGAAACTGTTGTATCTTTACACTCAACACCTTATGCATCAACTCACCTTCCCAAAATCAGAAGCTGTGGGCTACTGGGAATGATTTGAGGTACACTTTCCCTGGCATAATCCTTAGGAATCAAATGATTTCATGAAAAAAATAACACACAAAGTATGCACAAAAACTCAAGATAAACCCTTCATATAGGCTAACTAGGTACTGTGGGAAATTGTAGGTTTCTTCCTTTTAAATACAATATTTACTAGCAGCATCCCGTTTACCCTTTTGCTACTAGTCTCTCTGTGTCTCTTCCACATGACTACTCACTATCCAGTTTTACAGACAGCATCGCTGTAAGAGCTCCTTGCTGGAGACCAGTGACCTCCTGTGCCGTAATCTCAAGCTCACTTTAAGATCTCAGCTTTGCTGTCTTGAAAAAGGTTGTATTGCTGGCAGCTGTTAAAGCATTTTTCTCCAAACATTGTATGTCATATAGGACAAGTGCATTTTCCACATTTTATCTTTCCCCCCATGCTCTCCACAGAGCCTTCCAGGTGGTTCTGCAGTCTCTTCCAAGTATTTCTGTGCTTGTTGCTACTCTCCTACTTGCAAGTCCCTTTACTCTAACCGCATTTTCCTATATTTTTAGGCTGCTATGAGTCACTTCTGCAGGCAGACAGAGCCAGACATCCAATCTCCACAAATACAATCGCCAATCTCTACTCTTCTCAAGCACCCATTGCAATTGGGACGAACTTACAGCCCATCCAAAGATTCTGTCACAAAAAACGCACCTTTCAAAATTCCACCTTTCTTGGCCATCAAGTATCCCTCAAACCACATGATTTCACTGTCTGCTTCTTCACCAGGACAAAAGCACGTATGATTAAAGATATCATTATCTAAGAAGAAATATTGCTATTTCTTTTCCTGGAGTCCAACTGTTTGCATACACATATAAAGTCTATCTTTAACTCTTTTTCATGATAGTGCCAGTGTGTTCCAGCTCCCTGGAGCTTTTCGCATCTCCTTTTCTCTTGCTGTTGTCTTTCAACTGCTCATGACAATAGTCCCTCTTACCTTCATTTCTACAAATAAGTTTTCAAATTCTAGTAATGATACTATAAGTAGAACCAAAATTTTCAGACTTGTATCTCAACTACTGGCTAACAAATCTAGATCAGTTCAAGTTACTGCTAATTACAAACTTTGGATATTATGAAGCATGATCTCTGGAATAACCTTCTGGAATTCCTCAGCTCATCTCAGTCCTTACTGCTTAAGTATTTAAATTTCATTTGTCTGTGTTAATGATCCATGGGGTTGTCAAAAAAAGGAAAAGTCAAGTTTCATCAGATGTTACTAGAGTACAGTCAGAGCTTTTTATCTTCACAGAAGAGACTTCTTCCATGTAAATAAGTAAAGCCACTGTTAGTTATTGTACCAATAGGGTCCCTCTTGAGAACCATCACTGCACAGGATGATACTTCAGGCTTGCCAGGAGCTTTAACAAGTATTTACAGATAGCAAGGGAACAGATCAGTCTCTGGTATGTTGCATGAGTAGGCAAACACAATGTTGTGAAGGCCTGGAAAAATAGGAAATCAATCACATAGCTATACAGTTAAAGCAATGGGAATCTTCAACATGCAACTAAGCAGTTGGGACTTTACGCTGACTGTCTCCCAAAGAGGTAAAGAAGGTATTCCAAAGACACTTGTGATATTAAGATGACTGACATACAAAATTTATATACTATCAACTGGTATGTAGTCCTACGACAGGAATTTGTACGCACACTTAGTATAAATCTAAAATAGTAATTTAATTCTTCTGTGCATGTCAGGAAGGGAAAGGGGGAAAAAAAAAACAAACCAAAAAAACCAAAAAAACCCACCCCAACAAATAACACTAGGAAAAGAATGTATGATACCCTGTATAAGAAACAGATTAAATTTGTAACAGTTGAGAACTGTATTTTGGTCTTCAGCCACGGAGCAGCTGCACTGTTCCTTGTCCTGAGTAATCAGCAGCACATGCTGTAAGTCTATGACTTACCACACTGCCCTGGAAGAACAGCCTGGATCTCAAAGCCAATGTCAAGTCAAGGTAAGACGAAGCAAGTCTGTTCCCAGTCTACTCTCCCTTGCCTTCAAGTCTGACCCCAAGACATAAAAAAACCCTCAACCTCAGCAATTAGTCAGGCAAACTGGTTTTCCAGTGAGAAGGACTGGACAACTTCAGTAATGCAGTTGGCTCCTCCCCAAAAATAATAATAAAGAAACCTATCAAAAAAAACCCCAAAAACTTTTTTCCCCCAAAAAGCAAACCGTAAGTATTAACTGTGAAATGTACAAAAATATGATCATATCTAAAACGAAAAAGATTTTATTTTTTGGTCCTTTTAAACTACCAGCAAGAACTAGTATCTGAAAAAAACCAGTTCTGGTTCTAACACAAACAGTTGTGGTTTTTAATAAAAATCAAAGGGATCTTCCACATTTGCCTGCTGCTTTCCAACTTTTTATTCCTATAATACAGTAATGATCAAATATCAGAAACTATTCTGTTTCAGGCAAACAGAAAAGGATCAAGTTTGGGATATTTTTCTTATCATCAGCAAGTGGTTCATTTTAATCCATTTTCAAAATGTATAACCCAATTGTTACTTAAAAATCCCAAGTATAAATGATTTAATCAGCGTTTATTAAAAAGCTACTTAGAGAAGGGTAATGCTGTATCTTCTCTTGCAAAGCAACTCAAGTATCTATTGATGCAAAATCCTTTGAAATCAAGCAATAAAACTCACACCTTAGAGTGTATTACAGGATATTTTTATGCTGGCTTCCTAATAAAGACACATTTCACAGGTTTATGTTCACAAATTTTGTGGTATTTAATGGCTCGCAACAGACGGATGAAGTTAGTAAGCCACAGTTATGTCTTCAGGGATCACTTACCATTTTCTATTGTATATTGAACTTGACATACTAGGCTATTTAAAAAAACCCCAATATATTATTTCGAAAATGACAAAGAGAGACAAATTAGACAAGATTTTCAAAGAAAGCTCAAACCCTATGAAAGTACCTATAAGGGGTGAGAATTTGAAGGATGTTCAATGCCTTATATTAGAGCTTTTTAACAGTCTGGTCTTTATCTTCAAAGTCTCATCAATAGCAAACAAGCTTTCAAAAAACTTCTGAGAAGATGATATTTTCTTAATACATGTGATCATTTGAAAAATGGAACTTAAGGGGGGGAAAAAAAAGCTTCAGTAGCTTCACTGGTCCAACCTAGCCCACCAACTTGTAATGCCTCAAAAACTACTTACAGTTGTGGAGACCATCCACTTCCGACTGAAAAAGCTATCACATTAGCAGATAGATCAGAACACAAGCTCCTGTTCAGGGCTGTGGATCTTCCCCAGGACAGTTTTGCACAGATTTAGTAACTTGAATCAGTCCACGGAAGGGAACATGAAATACCAGAGATGGTACAATGTGAAGGGATCAGGGGCAAGAACAAGGTGGCCAGGAACGAGACCTTACCCTTTGGAAAGCAGCGAGCCTGTGCAGCTGCAGCAGCTCTGCTGTCAGAGACACCGAGAAACAGTCAGTTTTCCAGGAGGAAATGAATTCGTAGCCACCATCACCACCAGGGCAAAGCCTTGAGCTTTAGGGTGGGTGGAAGGGCACTTAAGCTGTTACATCTCAGGTTTAACGCAAACCCTGTATTCAAAATCAACAACAGAAACAGCTTGGAGGGGGGCAGGAAAGAAGAACATGCTAGGTAAGGGAACATCTTCTATTGTAACAACTCACATAGCTGGGAAAAAAAAAACAACTTTAAAGAACATAAAGAGTTTCCCAGGTCTGAAATGAAAGGAAGATTGTTCAGTCACAGTTATGTCTTTCTGTCTGAGGTACATGTTGGGGGGCAGGAGGGGAGGCAGTGGATAATCAGTCTAATGTAGTCACACACACCTCCACACACCCTCAGATAACTTTAATGAAGGCTCTAACAGCTTTTGTGTTGGAACATTCAATTCCCTCCCAGTGTTAGAAGTATACAGAACCTGATGGAGTAAAGACTTAATCTTTTAATAGTGTATGACGGAGCTGTTTGAGCTTAAAAGGTAAGCACCTACACTTAAGAGGAGAGGTAAATTAAAGCATGCTAATATAATTTTGCTTGAAGACTTATTTCAAATTCCTGTCTTTGTATTATCCCAGAAAAATTATACCAAGAAATTCTGAAAAATTCATATGGAGGTGATGTGGAAGGTATTTTCTCGTTAAGGGAACCAGTATTGGTTTGAGAAGACGCTGGGGGGGGCGGGGGGGAGGCAAGCACCTTGCCAAGAAAAACAGAACTTAATCTACAGCAGCAGAAAGATAGGGGTGACACACGTAAGGCTTGTAAATGAACAAAGCAGTGAAGAACTCTGGTTGCTCTGTTCTAAATACAAAGCTGAAAGTGACTTACTTATTTTTGCCTTTTTCAAAAAGCTCCCATATAATTGCTACTCAGAAAAGGGCTGAGGAATATGAGTCAAGAACACACCCAAGACGCAAAGGAAAACTAGGCATGACACTAAGTAGCAGAAAAACACTTGCAAAACTTACACCTCATATGAAGTCATCCACTCATCCCAAAATGGCACCCAAATGGCACCCAAACATTCCTAGCATTGTTCAGAGCACGCAACAAAGAAGCAAATCACACTTTGCAAACTACAACCTGGGGTTTATAAGTCCTGCTAAGATGCTGTAAAATATCCTCCAAATAAAGAGTGTGTTGTATCAGGCTTAGTCCACTTGAGCGTTTTACTGTTACTATACTTCAGTTTGAAAAGATGTCATCTGAGATCCAACAACACGGGGGAAAAAAAGAAAACAAAAAACCCAACAAACCCACAATTTATTTTGTACACCAATGTCACCTACCAACTGAAGCGCTGGACTTGTTCAAATTGGACACAGGAATGAATGTGCAGGGACCAGTGTCTTGGCAAAATCCCATTTATACCACCTAGAGAAGGTACCCCATTGATCCTGTTTTAAATTCTTAACCTGTGATTGAATTCTTACTGTTTCCATCACTTCACCAGGAAAGCACATGCTGGAAATCTACTCAGACACAAGGGTTTCAAGTGGCTGATCCAACACACCTTGCACAATCACTTGACCTGATACTGGAAGTACAATCCTGACAACGGAAGGACATTGCCAGCGACGAAAAAGCAGGCCAGCCCCATCCAGCAGCAGCCCACAGCTATGTAAAACCAATTCTAAAATTACACCTCCTCCTAACGAGACCAAACTATTTATAGGCCAGCTGTAGGACTCATTTGCTGATGTTTGAACAAAAGCCTTCATTATGTATATTTTGTCCCAAGAGAGTAAGATAAGGCTACAGATTTCAAAAAACCCACACAAATGCCCAAGCAACCATCATGCAAAAGATCCATCCGCAGGACCTACATGCTGCCAGTAGGTTGCTTCGCGTGAGTGACGTTCCCAGCAGAAGAGATGAACCCCTCGAACAGGAGGCCGAGCAGCGTGGAAGAAGAACCAGCGGAACTCTATTATAAAGAGCCTCTGTATCAAGTGTTAGACTTGGTCGTCTTTGAGCACACCTCCAACAGAACCAAGAAATCCATTTGTAAAGAGAGCAACAACCTCAGCCAAACACCACACCATTTAATTTGAAGTTTTGCAACTAAAATTGTTTGTAAAAAAGGATTCCTACTCGTGAATACTGAATATTTTAAAGACTAAATTATGTAACCATGCACACAACACTAATTAAAAAGGGACATAATATCTCATCTTTCTTTACTCTGAACACCTGGGCAAAGGGAAAATAGAAGCCTACTAATACAGATGATTTTGAAGGGAAAACTCCTGCCAGAATGAACCCTGCTCAGTACAGACATGGATTTATTTAATCACATGTAACATAAAACCTGCTGCTTGTTCTCAGTGTGCGCACACACGACATTTCAGTATTTTCTTGTTTTCTTCTAGAAAATTGCATACAGCCAGAAAAGTAGGTTTATGTAACCAGACATTAAAGGGGTCCAACTAGTTAGTTAAGAGGAAATAATTTTTTTCAGAGCACTTAAACTGATCTGATCTTCCTTCCCCCCAAAGTAACTGCATAAGAAGATTAACTTTTTACCTACTAAGTTGCACAGTACTCTTAACCTGAACTTTCATAGCTTACATTTTTGTAGAAAGCACCGTACAAATAACAACAACAAACCCAAACAAACAAAAAACCAACCCACATATGAAATGCAGTTGCCACTTCAGAAGTCCTGGTCATCTCACTAGGAAATACCTATACCAAGATTATGTAAATCAAGAGAAGCTTGAAGCAGGAGTTGATGTCTCTGTAACAACTACCCAGCAAGAAGGCGAAGAAAGCCCTCAGAGGCTATCCCTTCAATTAAATGATATAAAGAGCTTTTTTTTTTTTTTTTTTACTGTTTTAAGGCAGGACTATAAGGAAAACAGGACAGAGAATTTGATATTTCTTATTTGATATTTTGGAGCCCAAAACCTTTTAAATCACTTAAATGTTTTTAAGATTTCCTAATTTAGAAAAGCATAGGAAGAGAGGGAGGGGAAAAGGACTGATACAGGGTACAAAATAGATTCAAATTTACTTTTATTTTATGCAAATATAAATCGTTAGGCAAGGGGAAGAAACAGGGAAATGAGTTTGCAGATATTTATATAGGAAAAGCTACCAGTGCAAATGAAAACAAGACTCATCTTTCATGAAGTGCTCAAATTACAGGCTCAAATAATAAGATCCTAAAATGCTTCCAAATATGAGCAAAGAAAAATATTTCTCATTACAGACTTTCAATAGGATCAGTATTGCTGACAGACATTGCAGATCAGTAATGCTGACAGACATTGATACGTTGGTTTTGTTTTCAGGGCTTTTTAGAAGAGATTTAGTTCCCACTTGGGTTCTTTGGGACACGCCTGATGAGTTTTGGCCTTCTTAGCTTCTCAAAAAAAGACTATTTACAATAAATCATTAATAGAGCTAATATAATCATTCTTCTAGCTTTTCCTATACTTAAGATGTTTTACTTCAAAATTAAAAATCCTTCTCTTTTCCTTCTACACAGGATTCATTCTCCTTGCAGCCCCTCGTACATAACCGAAACCACAGCAGCCCCCAAAAGCAGGAAGGAAAAGATATTCAATAAAACAAAAAGCCACCCAGACTACGTCTGTACTTTGAAAACACTTCAAAAGTTGCAGTAGCTTCACGGGCTGAACAGCTATGAATCAGAATTTTTATGGACAAAGTGAGCCGAGCTCTTCGTCATGTGGTTTTCTCACCAACACCACAGAGAGCTGCGTAACCGGCAGCACCAGGGGCAGCGGGAATTTGCAGAGGGCCGGCACGGGACCAGCCTGCTGCCCGGCCCCAGTGCCCGCAGCGGCAGGCAACCGGGGAGCCCTGCTCCCCCGGAGGAGACATCCCTGTCCCTCCAGGGCACCACCCTCGCTCACCTATAGCTCTCACCTCACAGAGATTTCCTAGATGGCCGTATTAAGATTGCAAAGGGTTTTGAAACTTGTGACAAGCCAGATGCAGACAAGCAGGACGCTAGCTAAAAATAAGGGAGTAAAGAAAGGATATACTCAAGCACGCGTGGTAAGCCTTTCTTGTATGTTCAGTTAGCCACAGGAACGCAAAATAGATATTACAGTCAGAAAGCAGGAACGGGGTAATTGAATTTAACGCTTTAAAGAGCTGTCACAGAGTCTGTAATTTAAGGGCTGACAATACACTGATTATAATGTTCAGGGAAAAAAATAATAAACTCCACCTATAGAGAAGCAGAGCTGTAACTCCATGCCACTAACACAACTGAGAACAAACAAATAAATAAAAATCTACGGACGCTATTTTCAAGCAGTTTATGCAAGGCGAAACTACAATTTGAATGCCGCTGCATTCATACTTTCCCAGGTCTGTTCTACAGCCTTTTCAGCCTTAACTCTCGCGAATCATTAGCCATCTGATTAAACCAGTACCAACAACGAGGGCGAAGCCCAGCACAGCAGCTGGCCTCT